TCTCTCTCTTCCTCTCGTTTCTCGTTCACTTTCTTTTCGCGATATATCGTTTCCAAATTATTTATCAAATTTGCAGAAAGCAACATTTTTAACAGTATGACCGCACAGAGACTTTGATCGCCATTGACGCTTTTCCCTTTTCTCGAGTCCGATTTTGTGGAATCTCAACGCCTATTAGAAAAGAAAGAGACATGAGATTCTTTTTTTTTTTTTTTTTTTCAGGAAAACTTATTTTGACTAGGTTGAGTAGTAGAATTGTATTAGTTCGGGAAATTAGGGAATAGCTTAAGCGGTGGGACAAGTGATAGGCGAAGGAAACAAAGTTCTTAATTTTTTTTTAAATCATTAATATACCTAGATATGATGTAGGATAATTAAATGGATAATCTTGTAAGTTAAATGGATTAACGAGTGATTATAATATGTTCGCATTTTAACAAGGGCAGACAATGTTATTCATTAATTAGAAGCAAATTTAGAAGAAATTGACAACTAAATTTATGAATTTAAAGTATATTCAAATGTTTACATCATGCTAATCATAAAATTTATTTCCTAATCTCGCATATTACGATTACGTAAAATCAATTTACTATTTAATTTTGAATCCCTTTTTTTTAAATATATATATATATTTTTTTTTCTTTTAATATAATAAACAAATGTCAGATGGCACAAATACATGTTCCTCTAACATATTTTTTTTATATATACGAAAATTATTTATTTCTAAGTTAATGGGATAAAATGGATATCTCTGTCGATAATTAGGCTTAGAATTCCATATGAATTCTAATTTTAATTTTCAGATTTTTATTTTATTTATTCATCGATCGTACGTGTAGATTATTTACATTATTGATTCATTTACGAAAACTCGCGAAAATCAGTGATATGAATTCCCAGCTTAAAATCAGGAAACATGTTTTATTAACACACTCGCGATAGGGGTTAAAAAGCTAAGCCCCCAAGCGGAAATGCCCTCATCGAACGCGGTTGTATCGATTGCCATGCACCTAGTGGATAAAAAACTCTGCGTGCCATTTTAAGCACCTTAAATGACGACGTTCTCCACAACCGATCGGTCGATCTTCCGTAAAGAACAAAATGAATGACATTATAAAAGAAAAAGGATTCATTTATCAATTGCATTTTATCACAAAAACAAAGCAAAATGTATCCTCGCGATCATTCCCTTCTTCCACCCTAAAAACAACTAAGAAACATTTTGTATCTTAAGAAGAAAAAGGCTTCTTCTGCTGGCCGAGAAAGATTCTATTTGCCATAGAAAACAAAAACAAGAAAAAAAGAAAAAGGTGTTTAAATTTCTCGCGTGTATGCAAGAACGTTACTTCTCCCAATCTTGAAAGAAATATACGTGCGTACATGCACAGATTTATATACGTACATACGATTTTCATCTCCGACTGTAAAGAGACATGCGTATGCCATATTGAAAAAAAAAAAAAAAAAAAAAATGATTTAAAAGTGAAAGGTATTCACACGTACAAGTGTATATCTATTTGTTCCAAGATTTTCATCCGCGGTATTTATCCTATGATCGATCAGTATCGCGAAGTACATTGTAATAATTTATTAACTTTTCCATGTAGGACCAAGCGATTCCCCTTTCTTTCTCTATTCCCACTTTCTAATTCTCTCATATTCTGTTTTTCTTTTCTCTCTCTTTTTTTTTAAATTCTCCATTAAACTTTCGGTGATCCTGTGGATCGTTAACTCGTCTGTCCTCAATTATTTGAGATGTTTTTCGGCGTCACGTTCGCCTCTTTCCAGGTAGAACGCAATCAGTATTTCAATCGTCGATAATTAATTTTAAAAAAAATGACCGTCTCATGCATGATTTTATTAAATGAAATTATAAATTAGAAAAAGATTTGATTGTGCTGATGAGTGAAAGAAGGGAGTTGTTAAAGCAAAAACAAAAAAAAAAGAATTATTAAGAAACAACTAATAAATTAATCATTGTAACGTTATTATTATTAGGATTATTATTATTATTAATATTATTAACGGAACATAGCGTTAGTAGATTGAATTTTTAATCACGCCATCTAGAATACGTTGTTCCATCATGTTCCCTCCACTTTCGACGATAACAATTCGTAGAAATCTAGCGTTATCTTTTACTATCCTGTTAAATCGCGATATTAATTGACTTTTCAATGAATAAATGTGAATATCGAATGATTTCCATACTTGATAAATAATCTTATATATACGATGTTATATCTTTTATAATATCTTATATATAACGTTATGTCACTATTATATCCTGTGCAATAATAATATGAATTTTATGTACATGAACCGTTGCATTTATTATCGCCTGAATCGACCAATAAATAAAATAAAGCAACATCACTTAAAAGATATAAGCAGAATCTGACGCAGAGAATAATTAAAACGTTAAACACATTTATTTCTAGTTGAAAAAAAAAGAAAAATAATAAAAAAAGAAAAAGAACAGTGGACACACGCAAATTTCTATTTTCTCATGTAAATAAATAAGAATGATTAGGATCCTATTTTTCAACGTGCGAAAGTTTTATTTAAACAATAAGATTATCATAAATCTGTGTTCTACCTGCGTAGGAGGAACACGGGCGCCATTTTTATAAAGTCCGATGTATCGGGGTAAAAACTAAAATATATCATGTCGATACTGCCATGTATTAATTACATAAGGAACACCAATTGCCTACGAGAGTTGTCGTAATATTTTTTTCACATAGTCGCAGTTTTTTTTTTTTTTTCCTAGATGTTTCTTTTCCCGAAGCAATTCACGTAATCTATCTATCTATCTTCTTTTCCATTTC